GGGGAGGTGTCCCCGAACAGCCTGCAGTAAAGATGACAGGCAATAAAGCCAATCACCCCAAGGTACGAGGATTTTTTTAAATTAATTAATGGAGATATCCCATCTCCTAGAACTGGAAGGGACCTTGAAAGGTCATTGAGTCCAGCCCCCTGCCTTCACTAGCAGGACCAAATACTGGTTTTGCCCCAGATCCCCAAGTGGTCCCCTCAAGGATTGAATTCACACCCCTGGGTTTAGCAGGCCAATGCTCAAACCACTGAGCTATCCCTCCCCACCCTTATCTGTCTCCCAATCTCCCGATGAAGGCTAAAGCTTTGTCACGCTTGTTTTTTCCCCAGTGGTTCACCATTGCAGAAACATTCAGTTTAAAAAAAACCCCAATGTTTTAAAAAACTAACAATCCTGTTTCTTGTTAGCCTGACAATAAACCTGGGTGCCCAGCGTGGCATGTGGTCACCATCAGCAGCAGAACACCTATATCTGCCTTGTATATTTTCACTACCACAAGTGCCAACCCATGGAGATTTTCTTTGTTCCCACAAATCACACAATCATAGAAATGTACGGCTGGAAAGGACCTCTAGCCCAGCCTCCTGTGCTGAGATAGGACCAAGTAAACCTAGAAGACCATCCCTGACAGGTCTTTGTCCAAGGTGTTCTTAAAAAACCTCCAGTGATGGGGATTCCACAACCTCTCTAGGTTACCTGTTCCAGAGCTTAACTATCCTTATAATTAGAAAATTTTTCCTGGTGTCCATCCTAAATCTCCCTTGCTTCAAATTAAGCCCGTTACTTCTTGTCCTATCTTTAGTGGATGTGGAGAACAATTGATCACCATCCTCTTCATAACAATGTTTCCCTTTTGTTCTTTTCTATTTAAATGATAGGAGCCCCCATTCAAAGCATTACAAATACCTTTGCAAGCAAAGGTTACAGCAGTATTCCCCATATTAGCACTGGATGAAGCTATGACAATCTACACCAGCTGAGGATCTGTCCCTAAGTGTACTCACATGAACTACATATAGCGATACCATGGTACAGTTATCTACTTGTACAGATTTTACAGACACTAGCTGAGCAGTAATAGTCACATTATGATTTAAAGCATCAAGAGGAAATTTATAGTCCAGACAGAAATTCCACTCCTGAAGCAGCAGAGTGACATAGTCTTAGGCCTGGTCTACACTACGATGTTAGGTCGAAATTAGCAGTGTTACCTCGATTTAAGCCTGGACCCGTCCACACGATGAAGCCCTTTTTTCGACTTAAAGGGCTCTTTAAATCGATTTCTTTAATCCACCTCCAACGAGGGAATTAGCGCTGAAACCGGCCTTTTCGGGTCGGATTTGGGGGTAGTGGGGATGCAATTCGACGGTATTGGCCTCCGGGAGCTATCCCAGAGTGCTCCATTGTGACCGCTCTGGACAGCACTCTCAACTCAGATGCACTGGCCAGGCAGACAGGAAAAGGCCCGCGAAATTTTGAATTTCCTGTTTGCCCAGCGTGGTGGAGAGCCCAGATGAACACGCAGAGCTCACAGTACAGGTAACAATGATGGAGTCCCAGGATCGCAAAAGAGCTCCAGCATGGACCGAACGGGAGGTACAGGATCTGCTCGCCATATAGGGAGACGAATCAGTGCTAGCTGAACTCCGTAGCAGTAAACGAAATGCCAAAACATTTGAAAAAGTCTCAAAGGGCATGAAGGACAGAGGCCATAACAGGGACGCACAGCAGTGCCGCGTGAAAATTAAGGAGCTAAGGCAAGCCTACCACAAAGCCAGAGAGGCAAACGGAAGGTCTGGGGCAGAGCTGCAGACATGCCACTTCTACGCTGAGCTACATGCCATGTTAGGGGGTGCAGCCACCAGTACCCCAACCCTGTGCTTTGACTCTGTCAATGGAGAATCACGGAACACGGAAGCGGGTTTTGGGGATGAGGAAGATGATGATGAAGAC